GATGGTACATTTGTATCTTTGCAGAATTGCCTGTGCCTTTAAGCAAAGCCAGACTTTGTCACTGATTTACACAGGACAAAGACATGAGCAATACTAATTTGTAAATCTTGCAGACCTAGGAGTCTTCTTCCAGCAGATGTCAACATACAAAGTAGCCCAAAGTCCAACTTGTGTGATGAACTAATGCAGCATGTATATGGTTATTTCACTTTTTAAGACAACTCTGGGTTTTACAAAGTAAGCTGTAGTTAAGATCTGCCAGATAGCTCTGTCATTCAATAGCGCTGACAGCTTGAGAAGCAGTTGACAGCACTGGATAACTCAAGGCTAACTTTTTTTTTCATTTTAGGGAAGTCTTGTTTGAAAACTGAATTGCAGTTCTCGGATTATTACTGCCTGCTTGCAGTTCACCTGCTGCTCGATCTGTGGCTAGAAGGTATGTTCCTAAAATTGTGTCTTGCCTAATGCCACCCTGGATTGTTGTGATGCTGAGGTGGTGTCCCTGTGGTCAGCACACACCTGGCATGGATTGTTAGGGTTGTAGCTTCTGGTTTCCTTCCCATTATGAGGCATTTCACAAGTCCTTCTATTCAGTTGGTGTTTGATACAAACCTCACTGAACTCTGAAGGCATTTATTTTTTCTGGATTGTTACTGCAAGTCCTGGCAGAGCTTTGCTGATGACTGTTGCAGCTCAGTGCTAGCTGTTTTTTAGAAGCTTGTTCTGAGTTCCCCATGTAGGTAGTATTTTCTCTCCCTTTGCATGAGTTATGCTAACAATTTCCTTCTATATCAGAGGCATTTTGAGAGTATTCCTTTCCCTAACATATTTTGCCTTTTGTATCCCCTGCTTCTAGACCTCCTTCTGGAGTGTTGCTCCACATCTGCTCTGCCTGTTAGTCTCTTTATCCCACAGAGTCAGTCTCCAATGGTGGCTATCCATGGGCCCTGTTTATACTCCTGATCTTTAGTGTAGTTGCCAGTTACACTTTTGTCTTTTCTGAGAAAGCTTTAGTCTTTAACCTGAGTAAATCCATTGTCAGGTTCCTGGCAGGTCATGGGTGGAGCCTTGGCTTTTGAATTCCCTGAGCAGTCCAGGACTCAGCAGGAAAGATCACTTCTTTTGCAATGGGCCCACGTGCAGGTGCTGTGCTCTGTACAAATATGAGCTAGATATTCCCTGTGAAGAATTACTCCTCCACCTTTCCCTCTGAGCTACAGTGCTGGGGGCAGTGGCTGATGATGCCATCTGCATGTTTAAACATGGGGTTGTTTCTGAGGTGTGTAACCTGAGGATGGAAGCTTCAGTGCCAAGGGGAATTTTGCTGTCAGGGTTCAGTGCCTCTCTCTGATCAGACCTGTCTGTGTGTTTTGTCTTTGTCACCAGGTGAAGAGATGGCTGTGTGGCAGTGCCTGACTCTCTTAGAAGAGGGGTTGTCTCATAGCCCTTCTAATGCTCAGTTTAAATTGCTGCTTATTCGAATCTACTGTAGGCTTGGTGCATTTGAACCTGTTGCAGAGCTGTATTCCAGCCTTGATGCGAAACACATACAGCACGACACCATCGGGTGGGTAGTATATACTGAGAATAATTGCTGCTGGTCACCCCCCAGTAACTAGTCCTGAGATCTTCAGCTTCCTTTGCTGCTGGAAGTTAGCAGATTATCGAATTTTTATAGCGTTGTGTAAACGTGTTTTGGAATTATACAAGATACTTGTACTGGAATATCTTTCCTGTGTTATTTTTATAAGTTTGGGGTTTTCAGAGTATTAATTATAAGGATTCTGAAGTAAATTTGTGAAATGTTTATCTTGGTTGCAGTTATAGGTTGCTGTTCTGGCTTGTGTCATTACTCAGCAGAGCTCAGGAGTCTTGGGTACATAAACATACCAAAGGCCTTGCCTTGGTTTGTGTGTTTGTGGGTGTATAAGTAAAGCTCTTGCATGCTTAGCAAGGTGGGTGGAGGAACTCCAAGCCCCACATAAAGTTCTTTAAAATATTAAGAATTCCTTACTGTTAAAAACTTAAATTTTAATATGAATATTGTGATTGTCCTCAGTTAAATCTTCAGACTTTTCATTCAGCCTGAGCTGTGCTGCAGCTCTCTGTGCAGAGCTGTGTTTGAAGCTCAGGATTCCTCAGGGCTGTGTGCTGATGTTTGACTTGGGCTGTGTTGTGTTGCAGTTATCTTCTGACACGATATGCAGAGTCACTCGGCCATTATGCTGCTGCATCCCAATCCTGCAATTTTGCACTCAGGTTTTTCCACTCCAACCAGAAAGATGTAAGTTGAAAGAAATCTCTGTGTCCTTATAACAGAGCAGTTATGTCAAGGTGCCTTGCAGAAGTCTGTGTTGTGTGTACGGGCTTACAGAAATGCAGTGGTTGATAATGGAAAGGAATAATATGTGCAACTGTGTGTTTATAAGAAAGGTTGCCTCACCTCTGTGATTCATTGCAAGAGTCTGTAATTTACTGTTAAATGGAGTTTTGCTTTAGCTTTCAAATCTAAAAAACAGTTTTAATGCTCCTCAAAAAACAGGTATGATTGCTTTTAAATGTATGGACTGTGATTTCACTTTTTGCAAAATGAAATGTCATGTGGCAAGTAAGTCCTGGTGTCATATAACTTCTAGCGTTTTGGAAAGCCCTGCAGCAGCCAGGGATGGTGGGTCAAAGCAGTGATGCCAAACTTAGGGATCTTTTTTATTGCCATCACTGAAGCAGCATATTTTAGCGACAGCCATCCAGTGCACAGAGGGATGGAGAGGAATGCTCATCCCCTGAAAGGGTAGGGAAAGGGCAGGGGAAAAGGTGGGAGGATTTCAGAGGGAAAAAACTTGAGTCCTGAAGACTCAGCTCCACTGGAGGCAAAGCAGAGCCCTTGTCTAACTGCATTATTTTGAAGTGATAGCATAAAATTGCAAAACCTGCTTTTGTGCTGATGGGGACTGCCTGTTTTATTCAATTCATCCCCAAAAGTGGCATGAATGAAAAGGAAGCTGTCTTGAATGAGAGTCTTGGGACTGGAATGGAGGAGATAGTGAAGGGAGAGTAGGTGAATTCCTCCAAAGAGATCAGGAGCTCCTCAAAATGCATGCCATGCCCATGGCATCTAGCATGCTTGTAGCTTGCTAATTATTAACTAACTGTTCTTGTCAGTAATCTTACTTGGAAAATACACTGATTTACTTTTCCATGCATTCATAAGGAAAATGTCAGTTCTGTTTCAGAATTCTCATGGAGTCATGAAAAACAGGTTAGGTAGGAGAACAGTAGAACAACACATTTTTTTAAATATTGCTGGAAATCTATTGGGCAAACAGGGACAGAAATAGTCTGGAATTGTGGCAGGAAAGTATATATATAACAATCCAGCTCCCTAGACCTTGCAAGGTAGTCCCATTCTGAGGAGTGGAAATATATCCTGCATCTTTATATTTTACAGTTTGATCACTGTTGAGAGGAAGGTGAAGAAAATTATTTTTACTTTGTAAGAAATAAAGGTGTGATCCACTAACTTCCAGTCAGCCACTGGATAAGTTAGCTCCAAAGGCTCTGCAGTCATACAACTTGTTTTCCTGCCATTCCAGAAATAGATAAAAACACAAGACTTGTCTGTACTAAGTAGTTAAGATACCTACACAGTTATCCCTCATAGTACCCTTGCTCTGCTGGCAGCCCAGGTTGTTCCTGTGTATGATATATCAGGTGCCATTTACCTGTTCCTGGAGGGTAGATGCTGAGTCACTGTGCCCTGTGTCTGATAGAAATTTCCCTGCAGGGAATAGGATGCACAGAAGAGCACATGGATTGTATGATGGGAGCTCACTCTTCTCTGCTTCCCTCTTATGCTTTTATTCTAAGCAATGATCCTACTTCCTAAGAGTCTTTGGGTTCCTGGATGCAATGTTTCGTGCTGGAGTGAAGCCCTGGTTCCAGACAGCTTTATCCTGTGTGTCAGTTGTTCGTAGTGGTGGCTTTTTTGATGAAGGGTAGCTTGTTTAATCTTGTTTAAAAGTCACTCAGCGAATGTTAAATCACACTTGGAACCAACTGTCTGACTAAAACATTTGACTCCTGGAGAACCAGGTGAAAAAAACACAAACTATCAGCTATGATTGTCTGCTGTGGAAAACTGCATTGTAAAGCATCAAGAAATAATCTATTCCCTGGAAAACAATCTGAAGTAACTTCAGGTGTGGTTACCCTGGAAGAAGGTTATTCTCTTTGGCATGAATGATGAAGGTTCTTGAAGCAAAGAAGAGCTGATTGTTTCCAGTAGCTCAACATCTGTATGCAGGTGAAGACAGCCACATTCCAAGTGCTCTTGGCAGGAAAATGCTACTTAACTGGTGTTCCAGAAATCCCAAAAGGGCAGTGCCTGAATGGTTCAACCTGCCCCACTACCACACCTGAAAAGGTTGAAATTGCAAGAGGGGTGAAAGAGATGCAATCAACATTATATACTTCTTCATGCTACAAGATAAAGATGTGACTCAGAAACCTGCTTGCATCATATCTCATCTTGGAGACAGAGTACTGTGACCAAAGGACCACGAATAATTGTTGATCTTGGGCAGCCAAATCTCTTGTGTGTCCTGGACAATTCAGTGGCTGTTTCCTTGAGATCCTTTTAGTTGGGAAACACATCAAAAGCTGTACTCATTTGCAAATAGCAAGTATCCTTAAAAACCAACCATAAAGTGCAAATTACAGGAGGTGAAGGCTCAGTTCAGGATACTATTCATCTAGAATGATGGCGTGTCAAGAGTGGAGAGGAGAAACAGCTTCTTTACAGAGGACATGGCCCAAGTATCACATGGTCTGAATCTGATGCTGGTTTCTGTGCTGCTGTGGTTCTGCTGGGTTTGCCCCTTCATACTCAGGGTCCTGATACCAGCTTCCCATTTGAGTCCCATAAACAGCATCTAACTGCAGTGTTAAAGGAGGACTATCCTTCATAAGTTATATTTTTACCTGATTTCAGATACTGCCTGCTTCTCTCTAGGTTGGTGTTTAAGATAGCTTGGAATGTCTGCTACAGCATAGAGAACATGTCCTGCACCACACTGTGTGTGGGACTCTTCCTAGAACAGGAAGTGTGGGATGGAAACAAAGCATAAAATATAGCTGCTGATGCAAACTGAGTGCTTTAAATACATTTTCCTCTGAATTACTGAACTTAACAGCCTGAAGTGATTCCTGTTTAAGAGTGTTCCATGAATAACAACCACCTAGGATGCTGTGCAGTCCTTACACAGTACTTCGGCATCAGGAGAGGATTCTAAGATCAGAGAGGAGAGAAGGCAGTATTGCTTGATTTGGCCAAAAACTAAAAAGGCAGCTTTATCCTTCTGAAGGTAGTCCTCCTTTAAATATGCAAAATCACAAGTAATCTCTCTAATTTTCTTGTGTCCGTCCGTCTTTAATTTCTCCAGATACTGCAGGCAAACAGCACCAGCGTGTCCTGTGGGGATTTAAAAACCACGCCGCTGCAGTTGAATTAGAGCCCATAGCGCAGTCCCGCAGCTTGACAATCACCTCTGCGAGGCTGTTTATCAGAGGGTATGTTGTTGAATATTTGGCATATTTTTTTCATACAGTGCAAATAACCAAATTTCTTAGGGAAAAAGGCAGAGCTGCCTATAGGACGTTTCTGCTTTTGGAGGGAAAAAAAAAAAAAAAGGGGCTTTCATTTGCAGGTGCTAGTTTCTGGTCTCTCAGAGCCTTCCAGACAGGTTGAGTCTGTTAGAACCATATGGAGTTCAGTTAACCAGAGGTCTTTTTTGGTGCCTTTCCTCTTCAGTGCATTTCTTAGTCTTGTTCAGAAGAAAATACTTCATTTGCCAGAATTTCTCACTTGTGGAGTAATTCTGATGTAAAAAACATACAGCCATCTGTCTTGACTGGGAGCGTAAATTGTTCACTCTCTGTCTGCAGTTAAAAATTCTCATTAAAATACAGTGCTTGTTTGGAGCTCCATTATATAAATCTCCTTCTGGAGGTTGCTTGGACTGATGTGAAATACTAGTTGCGTGCCTTCTCTTGGTGCATTTCATCAGAGGGAAAGCAAACAATCCCACGGAGCCTGACAGTTGTCTTTGGTGTCTAGATTGTATTGTAATGTGTATACCTTGCGTGGTATTATCTTGTGATCCTGTATTCAAAAATCTAATAAAAAAGATAATTGAAAAAAAATGTGTGAGTAATTTTTTTTGATCTGCGTTGCGGTAAGATGTGATGCACTTCTAAGTCAGTTCCAGAAAATCTGGGATATATTTATTTTGCCTGAAAGTACTTCTTGCAATGAAACAGTAATTTGAATCTCAAAAAAAAAAAAAGAGAGCTTTCCAAAATCATCTCTCCCCTCGTAAGTTGTTTTTTGGTCACAGTGGCGACAGCAACATGATGTTTCTTAGTGTTAGTTTGGTTATTAAATCACATTGCCTGGTGGAGCATCTGAGCATTCTCTAATTTAAGTTGCAAAACTGCTGGGGTGACTTGGACAAGCAGAAGTGCAGGCTTCTCCCAGGAACTCAGTATCTGTACCTCTGGGTTAATGAGAACCACAGAAATGCAATTTCTTGGCAGTGACCTTGATAGACTCTGGTTATTCTGAATTTATGGAAGTAACTAATACAAAGATGGTGTGTGTTTTCTTCCAGACCTCAGAATATATCATTCAAGCCTACAAGTATGGTGCGTTTGAGAAGATCCCAGAATTCATTGCATTTAGAAATAGGCTGAACTCTTCCCTTCACTTTGCGCAAGTTCGCACAGAACGGATGTTGTTAGACCTCTTACTTGAAGCAAATATGTAAGTACAGCAGCAACTCAAATGGGAAAAAAATGAAGAATTGTGCATAGGCAGAACATAGGCCTAGTGAGACCTTAGTGAGTTGCACTTGCAGCTCTTTGGCAAAAACCTGTGAGCTACTTCTCTCTGCTTCTAATATGTTCTTCCCTTCAGCATCCCTGTCAGTACCGTGTGTGTGACATTTCTGACATGAGAAGGGTTGAACCAGGGAGGCAGTGTGGTCTGTCAGTGAGCTGTGTTTTCTGTTTCCAGCAACTGAATGTTTGATTTGATGAGGCTTTTTCTTATATACAGATCAACCAGTTTAGAAGAAAGTATCAAGTCTATGAGTCTGAGCCCAGAGGAGGATGACATTCCGTGGAAAGATTTGCATGACAACAGAGACCTGACAGTCTTGTTTAACTGGGATCCAAAAGACAGGTGGGTAGAAACACCTCATCTGTACAGCCACACCTTTTCGTTGCAGCACACGTGGCAAAGAAAACCCATTCAGGGCAACTGCCCTATTTAAATGTTCTCTAGGCTGGCTAACTGCAAACTTAACAAGCATCATTCATCACTTCTAGCAGTGCTGCCTTTTTACATATTAATACAGTTTTCTGAATTTCTGACTACTCCTCCCTCATACATTATTAGATAACTTTGAGTAGGCTTTTTTGCAAAGCCTTTGCCTGAAAACATTTGGTGCCTTTCTCTAGGGACATTTCTGAAGAACATAGGAAACTCTCCCTGGAGGAAGAAACCATGTGGTTGCGAATCCGGTCTTTAACTTTAAGGCTAGTAAGCGGGCTCCCAACTCTTAGTCACACTATTCAACCAAAGAACTCTGAAAAGACTGCAGAGAACGGCGTCTCGTCCAAGATTGATACAATTCGATCCCTGCTTCAGCAGCTGGAAGCAGCAGTGGATGCAGGGAAGAAGTTTCTAGAACAAAAAATTCAGGTACCCATTAAGGAAAAAGGTATCCCCAAATATTAAATGAACGTGAATGCAAGTAGAGGAACTGAATGCATCTTGTCCAGCAGGCTGCAGAATGCACGTAACTGACCCTGCGTTTGTAGTGTATGAATCTGACTGAGAGATGTGCCAGAGACAAACACTGTGTTCTGGATAAGGAAAAGCTGCAACACCTTTTATCTTTTTCTTTGCTTCTTGCCTAGTATCCTGTCCTTGGCCCTCCTCCTACCCGAATGGCTGGCTTCTTCAGTAATGGCAGCTGTCAGTGCCAGACTAGCTTGTTTTATCTTGTTAGTGATATTTATGAACTAGATACCAATGGCTTAGGTAAGTGTCTGAGGGGCAGGGGTCTAACCAGATTGTCATGATGTGTGGTGGGAGGGAGCCAGATGGGTCTTAGTTTAGTTTGAAAACTGCTACATGTTGGCTGATGGGGACCCAAACTGTTATTTGTCTGTTAACTTTTTGAGTGACACTGAGTTATCTGGGAGATGACACCTTAGTTTAATGTTTTATGCAAGTCTTTGTTGTTGCACAGTGTGTGTTGATGTAATACTGGATCCTCTTTGAAAGCAGTTGCATTTGCTTCTGACTGCTAACACTAAATTACATGTAAATGCCTCTTAGTTTTCTGGAAGCAGAAAATACACAAACTTGTAGTTTATAACTACTTTTCTTTTCTTTCAGAAGATTCAACAGAAATCCAAGAGAGGATAGGGAATAGTTTCAAGTCTTTAGTAGAACGACTAACAGGTAAATTGTAACTCAAGAATAACACTAGTACGTAAGGTACTTCATGGTGCTCTGAGGATGTGCTGCTGAGTGTGCTGCAATGATGGGCAGGGTGTTAATGCATCTGCAGACCCCTCTGAAAGATACTAGAGAACAAGGCTGAGATTCCCCTTGGCTTGTCTGATGATGGAGCTCTTGCATGCCACAGAATGTCATTATGTCTCATCATTTTGCTACCTTGCAGCCTAATCTTAGTCACTGTTGTCTCCCTGGTATTTCGTCCACATGTCCTAAGAAAGGGAGTGGAGCTCCTGTTAGTAATGGAATACAGTTCAGAGGAGACTTCGAAGCTGGACCTTCCTGAGGCTTTGGCCAAATTTATCATTTAACTGCTCAGTAGTCAGTCCTCTGACAGCTTTGCACACTGCCCTAGACACTTACTGTACAGGAAATGCATAGTAAGTTGATCTGCATGTTCTGAATAAGGCTTCTTTTCTTTTCAGACTTGTTCAATAAATGTAAAGGTGATTTGATTGAAGTCAGAGATGGCACCTTGAAAACTCATCCATACCTGTTAGAAAACCTAGTCTTCTTTGTTGAGGTATTTGTTATTTGAAAACTGTAATTTTTGGAGTGCGATAGGGTAAAAATGTTGGGACTAAAACACACTGAAAATTCTTTTATCTCAGTCACTCATGAAAGCAGAGTTTTTTGTTGCATATTCTAACTACTCCAAGTCTTGTCAGTAGGAACACTACAATTACTTTAGAAGCCTCCTGTAAATGCAACTTGTAACATAATTGTACCTTTTTTCCAGACGATCTCCGTTGCCCTGTGGGTATCAAGTTACTGTGACAGTGTCCTCCGACCATTTAAATCCAACCTGCAAAAAAAGAAGAAGAAAAAAAAAGAAAGCAGTGTAGCAATGGTAGACAATATTCCTCTTTTTCTTCCCTCACCCCCAATCCAACAGCATATTTATACTGAAAGAAAAATCATAGTCATTTGAATAGGTATTAATATCTGTTTATAAATATATTTGTTTTTGTAGCCACCTATATTTACACATTTTCTGGATTATGTTACTGAACTACAGACATTAACTTCCAATGTAATAGATCACATCAAAGGGCTTGAAATAATTCTGACTGCACTAAAACTTGAAGAGCTGTCCCTCAAGGATACTCTGCTTTTACAGGTAAGAACTCAGCATCATTACTTGTGTGCTCTGTTCATTTGGGTGTGACTGATAAGAACCTGTATGTACATGCCTGAGGGATAACTTTGTTGAAAGCTTCTTTTCCCCAAAATGTTTTGCTGCAAGAAAAAAGGAAAACAAGTGAGGAAAAAACCCACCTGTTAGGCCTGACTGAATTGCTCTTAACTAGGTCTTAGGGAACAGACTCCTAGAAAGTTTCGTTTGAGTGGTGATTAGGTTTTTATAGTGACATTGACTTTCCCTCTTCTTAACAGCTTTAGCTCACTGCACAAAATATCAAAAAAGGAGGTCTAAACACAAGAATTTGAAAATATGGTATATTAGTGAAGAAAAATTTCAGGTTTTAACATTATTATGTTGTCAGTGATACGACTTATTCTATCATCTGTATTTTAGTATGCCATAATGCATGAAAATACTTATGCCAGAAAACACTTGAAATTCACCAACTGCTGATTAGTCACTTCTCTGGAAACAATTACTTGATCCTTAAAGAAAAAAGAGTGGCAACTCCCTCCCCCCCAGCTATATAGGGGGAAATACAGGAATATAGAAGAAAAAGGCAGGAGTAAACAGGCACTGCAAATGCCAAATCTCATGCCAACTTTAGACATGTGAAGCATGAGCCTAATGAGGAAGCTTGGCTTTTTAAGCCATGGCAATCAGAGAAGACTTAAACCTTGTGACAGACAAGTGAATGATACTGTCACAAGGGATCTTCTAACAGTTCAATACTTGCTGTGAAGCTATTTGTTTCAAACAGTGGTTGAGATCTTGAAAATTGTGTCAGGGTCAGTCCAGCTAAAAAGCCTGGAGGTGACTGAAAGCCTAGAATTAGAATTTTAGGAAATTTACACCCCCCTCTGTTAGCATTCATCTTAGTCTAGATGGGAGATCTGAAGGCTTTTGAAGTGGGGAGGATTTAAAAGCTGCACCCAGGTATTTCAGAATTGCAATTCTGTCCCCCTAAGCTGCTGTTGGCCATCTTCTATTTTTTCAATTAGATTGTCATGTTTATTATAGCACATCATTTAAGATTTCCCTTTTCTTGTTGCTATATAAGGCTGATATAGAAGTATCTCAAAATTATATTAAAAAAAAGAAACTGTAAAACCTGATGGAAAACAAGGAAATACCTTAGACTGTATTTAATGCAAATCTGAATAAAGTAATAAATAAGCTTCTTGATATCATCAAAGAATCTGCACTTTAAAGGGGTAAGACATTTTTAGCTGCTTGTTGATCTTTGTAATTTTTCTGATTCCTTGCTGAGTCAGTAAATCCCTCCATCTTCCTTTTGATGCAAGGCATCAAATCTCTATGCAGGCAGATATGTAAAACCCCCATGTGTATCCACAGAAGCATCTGTGGGAGTCTGCAGCTTTTCCTGTGTTTGTGCACAATGTTTGCTGTTCTGCTTGTTGTTGGATATTGTTGCAGTAAATCCTGATAAATTCAGTCTGTACAGATCTGCTCAGACCTGGAGCTGTGATTGCGGCTCTTGAGTGTTTAGAGCTAAAAGATGCTTTTGAAAAATTCTCCTGTTGAGGTATTAGTGAAAATTCTGGTGTGGCTGGAGCAATACTGGTGATGTCAGCTGAATGTGGCCACTAATGGGAGATTTTCCCACATGGGATTGGTTTCCTTGGGCTGTACCTTGCAGGCTTTTTGCTCATTACCTGTGTTTGCAAAAGGCATGCTGATAGCAGCTCACCTCTTGACAGAGCAATGGTTTTGGCTGCTGCTTTGGGTACCAAGGTTTGCTCTTCCTGCACACAGAATTGTCCATTGCTGACCTCACTGTGCCTGCAGGGGCAGTGCCAACAGTGATGCATAGTGGTGGTCCTCCTAAAAGCCTTTTAGCATGGGCATTTTAGAAAACTGCTCATTAAAGGGAATCATTAAAGGAAAATCACTTTGGGAAAGCTAGGTACCTGTGAGATCACCTTTCTCTAGAATTGAATTATCTACTTCAATAAATGCTGACTAAAACAAAATGCTCCATGCACTATAGATTTCAGCCACAAATATTTTGCAAAAGGATGTTTCCAGAACTGTTGAAGAAATGTTAATGTGTTACCAGCGCTGTCTGGGCAATACCAGTATCTGCAGGAATTCTTGCTGTTTCTTATTCTCTGTTGTTGACATTCCCATTGTAAACTTACACTGTGATCCTCATGAATTTCTTATGATTCTTTGAGATAATGGGGGACATTTAACAGGAGGATTTCAAACAGTTGCTGTGGAATGAATTATTTCTCTTTTTCCATTTTTCAGGAAGAAAAAAAGTTTACAAAGACTGTGCAAGGGAAGGTCCAGAGCAGTTACCATCATTCAGTTCAGGAAATTGGAGAGCTGCTGAAAAAGAGACTTGATACCATTAAAAAACTAAAGATTTGAGGAATGTGTCCTTGACAGACTCCACAAGGGAGTGACACCAGAGTTCCAGACAGAAGCAACATCCAGTATACCATCACTTTAATCCAGAACTTCCTCATAATGCATGAAGGACTTAAAAAAGCATAAAACAGTTTTTTTAGGTATTACAGATGTATTGAGCTGATTTAAATTATTGTACATAAATTAGAAGTCGGGACCCTTATCGGGGTTTGACCACTTTTTATACATGTTCATAAGCATTCTGCAACAGGAGAAAATTAACTTTCTTCCCTTTTGATCTCTAGAAACAACTGGAGATGGTCTTTAGAAGCAGCAATAGAAATCCAGTGTAAAGCATATATCTCAAAGGAGTTGTATTTTCTTCACCATACAGTGTTTATAATTTTTGTATGGTCCTTGCCTTAGAAATGCAGAAATTGTAGATGCCTGTGTTCAGCCACCTCAAATGAAACGAGCCCGTTCCAGAACTGCTTGTTTTGTTCACAAGCCACTTGGTCCTGCTTTGGTGGGGAGAGGGGAGGCTGTGGGGCAGGATCACCTCTGGTGCTGCCTTCAGCAGAGCCTGGCCAGCCCTCGCAGGGTGGGACAGAGCCCTGCCCTGGTGAGGCAGGATCCTCTAAGGAGAGAACTGCAAGGGGAAGAGGTGGTGTCAGGGTACACACAGGTTGTTTTCACGTTGGGAAAAAATTGCAAACCCAATGAGGAGCAAACTTTGCTGTTAAGCTTTAGAGAGATAGGAATCAGTGTTTCAGCAAAAATGACAAAACCAGAGACCTTGTATATAATAGCTGCAGTGAAGTTTGACACTGTGGTCTGATTTCATGTCAGTTTAATGTAAAACAGCAATCATCATGACTTTAAAAAAGTGTATTTAGATTACTGAAACTTTAAGACTTAAATATTTTAATAGAAATTAAACCCCCTTGGCTTTGGTTTTAAGTTGGCAGAGGTAACTTTTGCTTCCGCTGTGGTATGAGGCTGAGAATACTTTTTGTAACCGTGCTTGCTTTTTGCAGTTGATCTTTGATTATTCAAGTACTGGCTCTTTAGTCATTTTGTTAGAAAGTGCAGTCACATCATCTGCTCCCACTGAATCTACATTTCTGCTGTTGATTTTGTTTTGTTTGTTGTTTTGGATTTTTTTTTCCTTTTTAAAGACTAATGCAGCCTAAAATTAGTAGGCAAAAAAGTGACGTGTACCTGCAAGGGATAGGTCAGACTACAGATTCCTCATCTTCTGATTTAAAGCAGCTAGTATCTGAAGTCTATATTTAAAGTTTTAAGAGAGCTGACAATCTTCCTTTGTCATCTCTTCTGAGTATGTTTTGTTAGTAATGCTAGAATGTTGATGAGAGTATTTTTTTAAAATAAATCCCCAGTGTGAAAAAAAAAAAAAATTCACATTGCTGCTCTTGCTGGATTTATATTTGCTTTGCCCCATCCTGAAAGGGAACGAAGAATGTCTGCAGGTTGTCTAAATTGTAACGGATGTCCTGATGGTTTAACTGCAATGTCTGGTAAGTGCTCTGGGCTGGAGGAATACCAAAATGTGCTAGGGCTGTTTTAAAGTAATACTTTTCCTGAAAAAAAAAAAAAAAAGGCAAAACATACAACTGAACTCTTACATGTTGTATAAAAATAAATTTTGGAAAGGAGGGTGTGCTCCTTAAATTAAAGTAAGACTGATGACTGAAGTTGATGCTTTGAAATGTGTAGGGTGAGTGAGAACAGTCCCCTTGCAGAGATGATGCAGTTCCTAGAGAAGCACTGAGCTGGAAATCTGCACTGCCCCTTTTCACTAAGACAAACTGCTGCTGTCCCTCCTGCCCCGGTGGCAGAGGGTTTTGTGCAAGCACCAGCATTGAATTTGAGGTTGGCACAGCACCTGCATTCACGGGACAGCCCAGGGACCGGTTTATGCTGGAGTTTCCTTCCACAGCTGCTAACAACAGCTTGAACTCTGCCAGTTGTATCCATAAGCAATGGTGAAAATGTAAATGAAGTACAAGGTTAAAATAATCAAGCTTTTAAAATCCTCCCATGTGCCAGAAAGGAGAACTTGCTTTAAGAAAGGTTTTCTGCATCATCTCTTAAAAGCAGAATTGAAACTGCTGGGGGGTGGACGTGTCATCTGAAGCAGAGTCTGAGAAGAGCTGGAACTTTGGCTTGCTCTCGCTTCCCCTCAGCATTTGGCATGGCACGGGTCCAGTGCTGGCTGGTCACTCCAACCATCCCTGTGCCACCACAGGGAATACTGACTGCTGTTCCATGTTAGCTGCTATCCCCTTTCCAGTTCCAGACACTGGTGAACAATACGCTTGTCAAACAAATGCAATTTTTTTTATTACTCAGTTCTTTATAAAACCAGGTGCCATCTCTTCACAAGCTGTAGTTTTTCTTCAGGAGGAGACTGTACAAAAATGGCTACGCACTGACTGGGGGCTTGGTTGAGGGAGAATTTCTCTCCCCCTATAAATTGTGTACAGTTAAATATATATTTCTTACAAAAGAGCATTTCCCCTCCGTAATATGTCCCACAAGGACTTGATAAGAAATTCAAGCTATAATCCATTGCTGCTGTTCTACCTTTTCCACTCTTGGGATTGTGGTTTTGTTTGTTTAGAATTTTTTTTGTGTTGAACTGAAAAACAGACATAGAAGAAGCTACCGACTACTGTTTACAGACTGAAAAAAAATACTGCTTTTGTACTACTGGGATCATGAGCCTTGATCCTTTTACAGGTTTCCTCAACTGCTTAAAACCAGTGTCTAATGTAGGTAGTCAGAAGTCCTACCCTGCTTTCTCTACATACAGGACAAGATGTACAATGATGTTTGTGTTGCCCTTCATTTTTGTACTTTTTAACTGTTCAAAAAATGCATTTATATTTTGCAGTCATTGGTAATCTTGACTTTATTTTAACTGCTAGTAGTCTTAAAGGGGTGTTATTTTTTTTTGTTGTCGTATCTGCAGCCCTATCTGAACTTTCTCTTCCTTGGTTATTCATTGTTAATTTATGACTAGAAGATTTGTATGCCTCGGCCTTCTTCGGATTTAAGTGACACAACTGCAACTGATCTGCTTTAAACTGGATGGGTTTATAATTTATATAAAAGCCAGTTTCGTTAAAAATCAGTATTGCTGCCTCTTGTTTTTCTGTCTAGAGGGTGTGGAAGTGCACGGGTGAGGTTTGTCAGCCCCTTGGTGAAGCCGGATTATCCTAGTGCAGAGCAAGCAGAAAATGGAGTTCAATGCAAAGAGGGAGAATGCAAAGCAGAGAGGAGAAAAACGCTGATTGCTTTCCACCTGCGACCTAAGTCCACGATTCTGGCTGCTTGCAGGGCGGTGGGGGGCTTGGAGCTGCAGCCTCCCCGAGGGAAGGGGCTGCCTGTGCGGGGAAGGGCCGTGCAGGAGCAGCCCCCGCAGCGCCATGAGGCTGCCCGCC